TTGTTTTTTCTTGCCCTTTTTACCCTTTTTGCCCTTTTTCCCATGGGACAAGCAGGATTGACTGGCAACGGGAATCAGGTGAGCTTCAAAATTGACTGTCAACTGGCAGGTCAGCAACCATGTTTACAGTACCCAGTAGCCATGTTTGTCTCCCAAACAAACTCGGAGGGCGATCGACCACAGAGTGCCGACTCGGTCCACTTCCACACCACGCTATGACGTTATCATCCGTTCGTCCCTGCTCCCATTCAACCTCAACTCTTTCCAACATTCTCTCCCGAGTCCCCTTCGCAACCAACCACCGCAGCCACTCACACGCTCCTTTCTCTCCCCCCCCATACCAACGCCACACCACGTTTTGACCCGAATCTAGGGGATGAGAAAGAAAAGCATGGGTGCACGGCTCCATGGGTTCATGGTTGGAGATTGGGGTTCCTAGCATCCTGACTGGATGGAAAAAGGTACCTTTCTGTGGCTCGTCCCGGATCACCAAGCTAACCTGAATCAGGTAGTGAGAAAGGTACCCACCCAAGTTCCCCAAATTCCCAAAATCCTCCCTTCCGAATCCCAAGAAATTATTGTTTCCAAATCACGAAAGGCTTGAATGATGGCTGCTGGGACCCGCCCCTCCCCAACATGGTCCTCCGTGCACGCTTGGCCCCTCGCAATTCCTCTTTCCCAAACCAATCGTACATCAAAGCATTGTGACTTTGTGAGAGACAAAGAGAATATCCCGGCCCCGAAAAGCCCAGTGGCGGCCGAGGACACTGAAGGGCCCCCCCCCCCTCTCTTCCCCCACCCCTTCCTCCTCCTCTGGACTCTCCGGCTCTCTGTTCCTTTCTTTGTGTCTTTTCTAGCCCCAAAACGAGACTAATGCAAAGTCCAGGTCTGTTCTGGACCAGGCCTTGATTGGGTGGGAGTTTCTGCCAACCATCAGTAACCCGCCGTCAGCCCGGCACGATCCTCCCCCCACCCTCTCTCTTAGCCTGTCTGTCCTGTCTCCTCCCTCCCCTTCCTTCCATCTCGTCGCTCCCCCGACCCGGACAGACCAGTCCTAGCTGGTTAGGCCCGCAGAGATTCAGTTTGGAGCCCAAGATTCCAGAATGATCAGACGTCTTTCTTCTGATTGGTGAGGATTTTTAAGGTTCTTGTTCCGGTTGTGCCCTTGCTCTATTACAGGGGGCAAGCAACAAAATGGTGGGCGGGACACAGAATAATATTATTATTGCAACAATACCACCTCGACAGTGACGAAACGTCGGTTACAGGCTATCCCTCGGCCTCATTCCTTATCCGACCTATATAACAGTATCGTCAACACGATTGCTGCAAGGTCCGTTTCCCCCTCCCCTCCCGCCCCGTCTCATTTTGCCACCCGGTGCGCTTTTCATCCCAGGACAACCTCCTCCTGTGGTCATCATTCACTTGGTTCAGTCTGTATTAATGTCCGATCCGCAGTCCGCCTCCCGCTCACTCGCTCCCGCTCCCGGCCTCCCGCAAAACTCGAAGAGTCCCGACAATGTAGTTCAGGGTCGGAAACACAAAACCACCGCCTGCACGGCTTGTAAGCAGAAGAAGCTCAAAGTGAGTGAACAAAGGAAGACATGACTATGATAGAGTGCGAATCTAATTATTCTTCAGTGCAGGGGAGATCCACCATGTCAACACTGCGTGGCCAACGGCATCGAGTGCCATGTCGACGAGATGGCTGACATGCGTCGCAAGTTCGCCATGAAACGGAAGCTGGAGCGGCTCGAACAAGCCGAAGAGACTCTGACGCGGCTGCTCGAAACGCTCCGAGATAGCGAAAGTAAAGATCTGGCCCAGGTGCTGAATCTCATCCGAAGCAACGCCTCATTCGACGAACTCCAGTTGTATCTCGACAAGCAGTTATCCGGGGATGGTTCTGAAATATCACCGGGCCTGCAGCAAGTTCGAAACCAACTTACTCGCCCATCCGAAGAAGCCGATGAAGTCGGTCGGTCTGCGCGGAGTGGCAGCCGCCGTATACTGGATGTGCGCCGCCTCGCAGACACCCCGGTCTATCGAGTACCCGCAAAGCCGTGGACGAGGGTCACCGACGACGACGAATTAGTATCTCATTTGGTTTCGCTTTGGTTAACGTGGACCTATCCGTTCTTTGACTGGTTGGACAAAGATGCCTTCATCCGGGATATGCAGGCAGGCCGACTCAACTCCCAATCCTGTACACCATTCCTGGTAAATGCCATTCTCGCGGAGGCTAGTGTATGTTGCCTATCTTAACTGTTGTGCTTATAGCGTCGCTTGGTTGAGGTGACGGCTCATTCATGATTCTTATGCGTGGCACAGTACCTTTCCGACTACGCCGAAGTATTTACCGTCCCAAACGACATGTTTTCTCGAGGTGATCACTTCTATGAAGAGGCGCGTCGGTTGTTAGAGGAAGAGGAAGGGCCAGCCAGTCTACCGACCATTCACGGCCTCCTCGTGCTATTTATCCGGTGAGTGTATTGCCTACCACCTTTAGTCATCCCACCTAACGCCGCGTCGTGTCAGCCTCACTCTTATGGGAAAGGATAGATTGGGTTGGATGTATCTCGATCTAGCCATCCGAGCGGCCCAAGAATATGAAACTGCACATCCACCTAGGTCGACGAACTCGGAATCTGATCGCATTCTTGAAGATGCGGCCAATCGCACTCTCTGGGGCGTCTTCAGCATGGCTTCGTATGTACTTCGCACCTGCTGGTCATGCTCTTGACTGACCAAGCCAGCACGGCCAATGTTTCCCTGATGAAGCACCTTAATATTGATCCCCCGCGGCGCCCACGCATATCGATGCAACACGGCGATTCTGAGGACATTTGGTATCCGTATCCTCGCGAAGTGGAATCCGTACCAGGGCACCATACCTGTGTTTTCGACCGCTGGTGTGATATTTCTTGCATCCTTATCACCATCAGTCGCGCCTTTCATGATGTCGAGCGTCGAATTCCCCGGTCGGAAATTGCGACATTTGTGCCAGCCATATTTACACAGCTCCAGGGTTGGTATACCAATCTGCCGGAATGCTTACAGGCGGAGACAGCAACTGTCCCCCACGTTTTAAGTCTGCATCTGCTCTATCATACGACTGTGATGCAGATTTTCGGGTTCATGCGCGCCAGCAATGACCTGGTTCTGGATCCGGCTACAGCCAGTCATGCCCGAGAACTCTGCCTCGCCTCCGCCCGCCGAATCACCCATCTGTTGGGTATTCATCGCGCCAAATGGGGCATTGATCGCATGTCACCCTCGACGATCCAGTGGTGGAGCATTGGGCTCTTTACCCTCATGGAATCTCTCGACTCCCAGGAGAATAGGAACGCCTTTGTCGAATTGTGTATAATTGCCCGCGCATTTGCTCGTCGGATGCCTCTTGCAAAGGGGATTCTCCGCATGATTCAATTATCCGCCAATCAAATGCAGGTTGTTTTACCGGAGGAAACGGAGGCGCTCTTTGAGGACTTCGAGACTCTAGCTTGGAAGGCAAGCGATTCTCGGGGATTCAGCAGTTTCTACCCACACTTCCATACGGTGGTTCAGCAAGGGTCTCTGCGGCAACCCGAGGTGGATTTGGATCAGTTTTTGGCTAAATGGGATGCATTGAGTATATCCAGGCTCAATTCCCACGATTATGACAATGGTCACGACGCTGACCCTTCTGGTGGGCCATGACTCTCTTTCAGTATCATTATACCATAATTGGACAAAAGTTGTATTGGGGCCTAAACACAAATCATTTTGGGTCGTTCTTGGCTGGATTTCCCCCATTCTGTCGGTGTAAAATTGGAGAAGTGTTTTTGGTGGCAAAAAGTCACCCGGCGGATACGTTGTTCGACGTTGGGGGATCCTCGGTCGATTTCTGCATCAGCCTCTCGGAAACGACTTCCTGCAGATTTCACAGGAAGCAGGTCACGCAGAATAATAGGCAGACTAAGCTGGCGCCGAGTGTCGTGCTGCCCATAGCGTGAGACTAGGCGGACTGGCAGCAGTACATACAGTACAGTACCCAATGCTAGCCTCGGGGCTAACCCACCCCACCGGTAGAGTGATCACGGATCATGGATCATGGATCATGGCTCTAGACCGTCGAGTGGCATGCGGCTAGCCCTATCTCCCTGCATCAAGCCACCCTAAGATCTGCCGAGACGTTCCCCCAGGTGTCAAGCGGAGGGGGGGTGGCGACATTTGGCGAGCCACGCGCCCACATACACAGTACTAGTCTAGCACTAAGCCACTCACTCTACATTACTCGTACTTGAGGATTGTTTAGCACACCTGCATATCCACCGTCCCAGACCAAATTGACTCTGACTTGCTTATTTGCCACAAACTGATAATCGGTCGTGAGATTCATTTACTCAAGTACTCCTCGGTCGATCGCGGTGGCAAGGCCAGTTGTTGTGGTCGGTAACTTACGGAGTACTGAGCAAAGTGGAACTGGAGCCGATCAGCAGCAATCAACCCAGCACGGGCCATGCATCTCCCCTCCTGGCATCTAGTCTACACACATTGACACTGACAGCCTGACAGGCGCAAATCGCCCGATAACACCCCAGATGAGGAGCAGATCTTCGTTCGAACGTTCTAATCCTTATTGAGTACGAGTAAGAAGGGGGGGGACTCTTTCTACTCCTAATTCTCTCTCTTTTCGTATCTATCCGTCTCGGCGTCGTGTCAGACAAGGCGGTGATCTCTCCTTCTCCGCGGGTATTCGCACTATCAATGCACCCGAGACCTAAGTTAACTACTACTCAGTAAGGACTCAACATGTGTGGCGAATTTGACACCCATCATTTCCGACCCGTCTCGAATCGCTCAACAATTCCATTCGTGTGGAATTGGCCTATGATATGAAACCGTGGTCGTGATCCGCTGTCGGTGTAGGGCAGAGATTGATCCTAGTGCTTAGCTTCGTCTGCGACCGTGCCGAGCTCCACAGAGTAATGTACATACGCATTTGACCGGACCACCACACCACAGTTGTTGTTCGCCCGTCGCATGACTTTTCTTATCGGAGCTTCGGTGACCGCCACTGCAAAATCATTTCAAATTTCCGTCGTTGGGCGCACAATCCCTGGCCTGGGCATTTCCGCCATTCCTGCTGCTGGTGATACAACAAACATGCACGTGCTTGTTTCCCGGCCGTGCCCCCGATTGGCCTACCGCCCCGAAGAGTGTGGTATTGGTGAATCAGACTCTCATTGGAATTGAGTCTGACGCCCTCACAGTCGCACCGTTCCCATTGTATCCTCCACAGAGATATATCACGGCGTGTTTACTTTTACGTCAGTCAGGCTCGCAGGATGATTCCAATCCTTGCCGTGTCGGTCTTCATGCGTCTGCAGACCTCATCCCCTTGGTCGGCCGGAATGACTATCTTCTTCCCTAAGCCGCGTGCCTAAAACTGGCATCGTGCTTTCGTGTTTTGTTCTTGATTAATTCGGATATATGTTCCCTTAGATCGCTTTCCATGATTGAGCTATTCGCGGTGTTACATGATAAACTCGCGTCGCCCCAACCGGTTCCGCATTCTTGGTCTCATTTTCGGAATTGCATTCGTGGGTATAGCTTCTGGCACAATCAGGTAACGCATTTCCTTGAGACTGTGATTTCATGCCCTCATGGTTGCCGGTGCAACTGTCGGCATTATCATCAGCTATTTTCACGGCTTCCCCAGCTATCCAACGGTGTTTCGCTCTGGTCGTGGGTTTGTGTCTCGGCAATCTATCCCGACCGCTCAAGACTTTATCGCCGTGACAGGTGCTTTCATCGCTGTCATCCTGATATAGTTTCCTGGGTATATTCTCACTAGACGGAATGTGTTCTTGGTCTGGCCTGTGCCGGGGTGGTGTCCACTTGCTTCAGATCATTATTCCGTTTGTGAATGCGAGTTAAAGGGGGACTTTGAGGCTGGATCTTTTTGCAGACCTCCCCGGAGCATTAGAGGCTCCACGGTGCTTATGTTCTCCATGGGGCAGACGAAAACTTATATAGCATGATCCGGAGCACACCCTTGCCCGGGCAGGCTACCACGTAAGTCTCGTTGCGCCTTCGCCTTCACCTTCTTGATCGGTTCTCCCTTCTATTATTTAGACATCTTGCTCCATCGCTTCCTCGCGTAGAAGTTGCCAAATTTCGTGTAGCCGAAGTTGGGAAGAACATGGAAACTGTATTTGTGGACTGGTCTGCGTGCCTGGCACAGATCTCCGCTGTTACAGTAAGCTTATTCAATTCACCGGAATACGAATAGCATAAGTCAAGGCAAACCTTGTCATGCCATATGCTACTATGCTCGATTTCGCACTGAATTAGTAGGGAATCTGCAGTGCCGGCGAAGCTCTTCGCGCGGGTGTTTCTAACCTGCAACATTATTTATTACTATCCATATTCACGACCTGGAGATACGAGATCGCACATATCTCACACACCTCAGGACCGTCCCTCCGGTGAAGAATCTCATTTATCCCCAGCGACATTTGACGCAATGAGTCACCCAGATATCATTTTATGCAAAACCTACACCCAAACTCAGTTACCAACGAAAATGCCCCAGAAAAACAAGCTTCGGAGCGATGAAGTCCGCGGGTAAATAAACAGCGAAGAACCAAATCAAACGCTTCCCGACCGCGCGGGATTTAACTTGTTTGGTTCTCCGCAATCGGCGGCAGAATTTTTTTCTATTCACGAGCGATAATCTTATCTATACATCACTCCAACAATAAATCTCCGGCACTTTCAGAACTGTTGATTCCTTTTGTTCGTAAGAAAGAAAAAAAAGGATGATTCAGGTCCCCGGAGCTGGGGGCGATGAAGCCCATGACCGACACAAAGATGAGGCTTTGGAGGTAGTCAATAGCGAAGAGGGGTTGGAGATTGACCCCGCGGTGGAGCGACGGGTCTTGCGCAAGATTGATCTGTTCTTCATGCCGGCGATGTTGGTCGGTGCGTGAGATCTATATGTTTCATGACAATTTTGAGAAGATTGAATGGTATACTGACAGGCTGAAAAGGCTATGGCTTTGTTTACTGGGATAAAGTCCGGTTCAACTACTTCTTTATGGCAATATGATTCTGACTACGAACCACAGGCTATCCTCGGTAGTGCCTCGTTATTTGGCATGACCAGCGACCTGGCTCTCTCGGTGGTCGACTACAGCACCACCCCCCCGACCAAGAACACCTCGCGACTGAGCTGGGCCACCTCCATCTTCTACTTCGGCATGATGGCCGGTCTGTACCCGATGACTCTGGTGCTGCAGCGGTTCAAGGTCCAGCATGTCTTGGGTCCGATTGTCATGCTGTGGGCCATCACCTGTGCGGCCACTGCCGGCGTCACTTCGTGGCGGGGCCTATTCGTCCAGCGCTTCTTTCTTGGTACCTTTCTCTTTTCATCCAGTTTACTTGATCCGTGCTCCTAACACCATAGCGTAGGGTTCGTCGAAAGCGTGATCCCCACGGGTTTCATGACTGTGATCAGTGGATACTACACGCAAAAGGAGCAAACCTTGCGCCAGGCGATCTGGTTCTCCGGCACGGGGTGGTTCACCATCATCGGCGGCGCGCTCAACTACGCCTTCGGCCAGATCACCACGGGCGCGCTCCGGCCGTGGCAATACATTTACATCTTCGCGGGTGTCCTCACCTTTCTCTTCGGGATCTGGTGTTGCATTCTCCCCAACTCCCCGGTGTCCGCCTGGTTTCTGACGCCCGCGGAGCGGGTGGTCGCCGTGGAACGCCTGCGACGCGGCCAGACGGGCGTGCGATGCCAGACGATCAAGATGTCGCAGATTGTGGAAGCATTCACCGACGTGAAGGTGTATCTGATTGCTATCATGATGGCTGCTGCGTGAGTTTTTCCCCTGTCTGCCCCTCACCTGCTTGGCTGCTAAATGACCTCACAGCTACACCATCAACGGCGCCATCTCGGGCTTCGGCCCCTTGATCGTCTCCACCTTTGGCTACAACACCCTGGCCTCGATCCTGTTCCAGTTCCCCGTGGGCGCCATCTGCATCATCTTCATTCCGCTGGTCGGCTACATCTCCACTGTCCTCCCGAACACCCGTATCCTGTTGCTGGTAACCTGCTGCCTCCCCGTCATCGCCGGGTGCGTCATGATCTGGAAGTCCAGCTGGGGGTACCGGCCCGCCACGCCGGTGGTCGGCTACGCGCTGACAGGCTTCTTCGGCCCGGTCGTCAGTCTGATCATCACGCTGGGCGCGAGCAACGTCGCCGGCGCCACCAAGAAGACCATCATGGCTGCCACGGTGTTCGTCGCCTACGCCGTCGGCAATATCATCGGCCCGCAGCTGATCAAGTCCGAGACCGTGGGGCAGCACTACCCCGAGCTGTGGACGGGGATGGTCATCTGCTACTGCATTGTGATCGCGGCTGCCGGGGCGTTGTGGGCGGTGCTCTGGCGGGAGAATCGCCGCAGGGACGCGGCCGGGCTGGATGAAGGGCTGCGGGATAAGTTGGGGTTCCAGGATCTGACGGATCGGGAGAATGGGTGGTTTCGGTATGTGCTTTAGTTGGTCGGTAATGTTGTGGGATTGATCATGGCTAGTTCTGGCTGGCTCGAGCGATTCTTGTATGTGGAAGCTGTAGGCTTGATCGAAATGATGGCCTCGTTAGGGTAGTCCTCGGGAGCAATGATTGTGTTGTTTGGGGGCTACCCTGTTCCAGTTTGTCTGTACAACATGTGGCATTGTCCTGCACTTTGGGATACTGGTAAGAACACGTTTGACATCCACTGCCCAGAAATCAGTGACTTCCGTACGAGCTACCAATCTCGCTGGGAGGCTCAATCCAGAATCATTGGACAGACACTAAGTCGTAGCCTGTTCAATGGACTGTCGACCTTTTCCTGAATGAGGAGTCTATGCACCATGCACAATAAGCTGTACAAATAGACGAACTGCAACCACGGAAGCATGCTCTACAGTTATTTGCATACCCTGATTGACCCGCCTGGTTAGATCTCTCTTCCGTCAACGAGTGAGCATCCAGCCACCCCGCCATTACCCACCCCCCTACACCCCCCTCACCCCGCTCCACCCCGCCGGCTTCGGCTGCTCAGCTCCCGATGAGTAAGCGGCTATTGCCTATTGCCCCTGCCCTAAATCAAGCTCATCAGATGAAGATTATCCACTGGAACAACCATAGGGGTTGGAATGACGCAGCAAGTTAATTGAGAAATGAGAGTAGTCGGTCAGCTAGACCAGTGTCAGGTTTTTCGTTTAAAGAAAGCCAAAAGACTCACCCCTCGTTTTCATCGCACTGATATCTCCAGTAAACACCCACCCGGGTCACTCTGCCCTCCCAGCATGGTCACCACGCACTTAGGGACAGCGATAATACGTCGAAGATACCCTCAACCTCACAGTCCGACGAGACCTTCCCATCCCTCAGCCACCGGCTGACGAGACCCTCGTAGAAACGCTCGCTATACTGCGGCGCGAACCCCGCCGACACCAAACACGCAACGCAGCTGGCCATCTCCCCGCCGTGCTGGGCTACAACTTCTGCGGGAAGGTGCTCGATATCGCACCGCAATGCTATTGCTGCTACCCAGGCGAGACTGTCGCAGGCTACACGCCCACAGGACTGACCCGACCGACCAGATACGGCACGCACCAGGCGTAACTGGCGTGTCCGGAGGAGATGGCGTTCCGCGTGCCCGCCGCCCGCCCGCTACCGGACACCGCGGCTCTCACCGTGGTCGCCATGCCGGCGGCGGATGCATCGTTCAACTTGTTTGGGATTCCCCTTCCGCAGGAACAAGCCTCGACTGGCGGATCCCCTGGCAGCGGTGGTGCGCCTAACAGCAAGGGACTCCTCATCTGGGGCCCCTCCAGCAGTGCGAGTCTCTGCGCCGTCCAGATCGCGCGAGCCAGCGGCGTCTCCACCATCTTCGTGACGGCGTCTCCGCAGCGTTATGCCCTGCCCACGGAGCTGGGCGCCACCCGTTGCTTTGACTACAGGTCCCCCATGGTGGTGGACGAGATCACACCAGGAATCGAGGAAAGTGACACCATAGTAGCTTACGGGCTCGACGCCGTGGGAAGTAGGCCGGGGACTGAGGGATCTTCCGCAACCATGCTGGCTCGGTGTCTCGCCCCCGAGGCGGACCTCGTCTCCCTGGTCGTCCAGGACGATCCCTGCTTTCGTGTGCCAATTGCGACCCCTAACCGCGACGTGACTGTTAGAGTTGCAGCGGTGCCGCGGCCCTTTGTAATCCCCGCAAGGCCGGCGGACTTTGAGCGCGCGTGGCGGATGCTGGAGTGGGCGATAAGGGGCTACGGTGTGCGCTTCCGGCTGCCTCGCGTTGAGGTCTTCGAGGGGTCGGCGGAGGATGCGTTGGAGGAGTTGATGGGGTTGGCGGAGGGTGGAAGGCGGTTTGGGAAGGTGGTGCTTCGCCTTCCGTTGGCTTGAGGGAGGTTTAGTTTAAATAGGAGGGGGGGAGGAATAGTAGTGATGGTGAGGGGGTAGGTTGAAGTTATGAGTGCATTCTTTAGAGTTGGTTAGGGCTTTTGCTCCAAACTACATCTAGACCCATGTTGGCTTTTCTCCCACCGAAGCCAAAAGAAAGCATTAATACTAAATCTATTCACACAAAAGTTGAAGGGAGAGGTCGAGAAGCGCGAGATACCATTACAGCTATCCATAACTTACCCAGCAATCCAACAACCAAGCATAATCAATACACCATCACAGAAGGCGGCCCAAATGACCCACGGTCATCCCGGGGCCTTTTCAGCGCGGCCAGCTCCGTCTCCGCGAGCAGAAAGACCATCAACTCCAACTCCGACTCCTCATCCACAAAGTGACAGTGGTATCTTTTCAGCGGGAACGTACAGTCCAGACACTCGTGCCCGCCCAGATCGACCGCCAGCACGTCGCGGGCCTCGTGCCACTTGGCGTCCGAGACGACCACAACGCACCACTCGATTCCCGGTGGGGTCTGGCCGTCGAAGACGAGCTCGCGTATCGACACGTACTCGTATTCGAAAGGGACGTCCTCCTCGAAGTGTTGAATGATGGGGGTGGCTGCCATGATGTTTAGGTGCTTTTGTATAATATATGACTAGTTGCTACTTGTGAGTTGGGATAGCTGTTAGCCTCAGGTATGGGTGTCTTGGGGAATACGGGGGGGGGGGGTCTGGTCCGTTTTATATGTTGCGGATTTGGCTACAATGATACTGATGCGTACAGCTTGTTGTGGTTTCTTTGTGCTACTGCTTTCGGCATCAAAGCTGATTGCTAGCATTGTTCGGCAGGCTTTGTGGGAGGAATGATCCCCAGAGAATTACATTGTTGGCCAGAGTACAGGTGGTTGGTTGACACTTCAATGCACTTTATTGACGGATGGGCGGTCTTTGTCTATTCACGTCAAGGAAGCTGTTCTTTCGGCGTCTTTACGCCCCTTTACCCCCGTGCCTAAAGGTCGGACAGAAGGCTTATGTCTTGAAAACCAAGGGCTTTCCTGACCAACTGACCTTCCATCAATAAGCAACCAAAAGCATAACTCAACCCATACTTGAGGGTATTTCTGATTGTGCTGTACGTAGAATAGTTCTACTAAAGAGGGGGACGTTTATCACGTGACTGAAGATCCCCCGCAATCGGACCGACCGCAGATACATTGTAAATCCATCCTTCTCTCGCCATCGCCCTTTTGTCATCATCGATTAGATCCCCTTAACCGTCCTAAAATGAGTGCTACACGCAGCAGAACATGCTTGAGCTGTAATAGGACCTTCTCGAAAGCCGAGCACCTCACGCGACACTTGCGAAGTCACACTAATGACAGGCCCTACGAATGTCTGATCTGTGGCAGGTTGTATTCCAGGAGGTAGGCACCTGCTTTTCTACACCCCACAAAGTTGGTTCTATCGGAGTCTAATGTACTTGCCACAGCGACGTGTTACGTCGACACGAGAAGATTCATCAAGCAGCCTCGCCTCAGTCTCGAGAGCGTCCAGTAGCCGAATTGGCAATGTTGACGCCATTTTCTCAGCAGACATCCAACCCCTCAGATGCACCAACAGGCACCTACCTGGAACCAGAGCATCAGCTGCATCTCGTCAACTCCATCCAGCAGAGCGAGCCCAGCACCTCTTGGCTCCCAGGAGCGCTCCTCGATGTCGACGCGTTGGATTTCACCTTGACCTCGGCAATTTCGGAATGGGCGCAACTGCCTCCCATCCCGTCCATCCCGAGCTTGACTGACAACGGCCCCTTCCTTACCCCAACTTCGGTGCAGACTGCGGAATTGCCAGCTGACATTGTGAAGCGAAAATGGTTTACGCGTCTCAGTGTACCGGAAGACACACCGGCTCCCCAGAAAAGTTCCGGCACTCGGGGCAGGGAGGTTGGTCACGGAAACCTCGCGGCCGATGAAAACTATCGAGCAGGCCTCTCGCAGAGGCTCCAACCTCGCATGCACGATGAGGCCCTTCCTTCGGCTGAGCAGCTCAATCTCTTTGCCGACCAGTTCTTTACTCGCTTTCACCAACTTCTCCCGATCGTCCATGTGCCCTCGTTCAAGCCCACCACCGAGAACTCGTTACTGTTTATATCAATTTGTTCGGTTGGTAGCCTGTTTGTAGGGTCATCACACGCGGTCGCACAAGGGACTCGTCTATTTGAGAGGCTGAATAAAGCGATTCTGGCGTCCTGGGAGTCGGTTCTGGTTCGCAGCTGCTCCGATGGGCTGTCCATGGTCCAAGCAGCCATTATCGGCCAGACGTTTGCCATTCTCTCCGGCCGTCCCAAGGACCTTATCCTGGCGGGTGTTCTGCATGGCACGGTCATGGCCTGGGCGCGTGAGTCCGATAGAAACGCACTGCCGCTACCCGCCACCCCTCGAGATCTCGATCTCGATGACGCTCGCTTGGACGAGCAGTGGAGTCAATGGATTGATCGCGAGCAGCGATTGAGGGTCAAGATCGCCTTGAACATCCATGACGCAGAGCTTGCAAGCCTACTACACCATGAGCCCATCTGCAAGCATCGGCTCACGCATTACCCTCATTTGGCTTCGGATGCATTGTTCACGGCGCCGACAGCGGTGAGATGGGCCAGAGCTTACAAACTTACGGCGACCCCAACGAGCCCTCAAATGTCGACCACGTACCTCGACAACATTCTCCCAGGCGATTCTAGATTTGCAGCCTACGGACTACTTGAGAGCATCAGTGCCCACGTCAGTGAGGCTCGACGGTCGAATACACTCGATGACCAGGAAGTGGGGAGATTATCCCACATGCTCATGTGGTGGTGGGGGAGCAATAGCACCCAGTCCAGTGTACACGACAACGAGGACGACCCCTTTGCGTTGCAGATCCTGTGGCACTCCACCTACATGGCCATCTACGCCGACCTCGACCTGCTGGAACGAGCCAGCGGCCGCGATGGGGAGTCCGCTGCGCAAGCCAGCTACCCGCTTGTGCGTTCGTGGTCGAGCTCACTAGCCGCAAGTAAATGCTTGGTTCATGCATTCCTACTGCAGCGCTACGTGGAGCAAATGCGTGTCGCCGCTGAGCCGGCCATCCACATCCCTCGAGGTCTGTTTCACGCGGCCTTGTGTTGGTTCGCTTTTACTCGAATTGGAGGCCAGCAAGGCGTCGATGTTAAGGCGTTCGAGGCTCCGGAGGTCCAACTGTCAGACAATCATGCTACGCCGCCTGGAGCACTCGGGAAGGCAGGTAGGGACTGTATTCTGGCAGACGCCAATCAGGTGCACCGTTTGATCGATATGCTGAATCGAGGCGGACGATGGGGCATCTCATCGTCGTTCGCATCGGTATTGTGTGCCGCGATAGAGGGTCAACAAGGTGCATAGACCACTAATACTACGAAGGAGAAGGCCTCCCACCCAACGGGGGCTGATGGTCTCTTTGCTGTCCCCCCGCCTTGCTCGGAACGGCGTGGTGGGGACGCGGCGGGGTGGCCGGCGGGGTGCGCAGACAAGAACAAACCGAGGGAATGGCTTTTTCCCAGTGTTTACAACAAGAAATGGCAATAGTACAGGCCTCACGGTTCAAAGTAGCCGTTTTATTTGCCGAAGGCTCAGCCGGGTCGCGGGGTCTAGTCTCCTTCCCTGGGCTTTCTCCACGCCCAGCCCCCGCAATAGAGATATAGATGAAAGCTTATGTACCTTTGTTGCCGACCCAAAGTCCAAGATTCTAAATCACATTATCTACCGTCTTGTTTAGGTCGACATATAGTCTCAATATCTCAGCAAGTCACACTATGCCACTCTTCACCGAACATGCCTCCAGCTGGCGTGACCTGAGGGTCCTGCCGTCCTTGGCTCCCCCATTGCCTCGCTTGGCACCAGCATTCGTATCATCGACGGAGAGTGAGGTAGAACGATACGAGGTACTCATTGTCGGAGTAGGTTATTACTCTCCCCATATCAAACAATAGGGCGCAGCCTCGAAGAGTCGAGCAGACGATAATATACTAATTGTTGTGACAAACCGATAGGCCGGACCCGCCGGGCTGATGCTCCAACTACTCCTTGCAAGGTACGGATTGACTGACGAGTCTCTCCTATGCATCGACTCCAAGCCGAGCACGCTCAAATCCGGCCAGGCCGACGGGGTCCAGCCGCGCACATTGGAGGTATTCAAGACCCTGGGCATCTCCGAGGAGATCGAGCGAGAGGCATGCCAGATGTGGGAGTTCGCGTTCTGGAACCAGGCCGAGAATCCCGGCGGCAGCCAAACCCTCCAACGACAGACCGTCGTGCCCCAGGTGATCCCGCCGGCCCGGTTTCCTTACGAAGCCACCATCCATCAGGGCCGCATCGAGCGCATCATGGACCAGGACCTGCTGCGCTACTCGCGGCGCGGGGTGCTGCGCAACACCAAGCTCGTGTCGTTGCGAATCGATGAGCAAGGCGACGCGGAGTTCCCCGTGCGTGCGGAGATCGAGGTCGATGGCGCCCAGCGACGAACGCTTCGGACGAAGCATCTGGTCGGGGCGGACGGGGCGCATTCGGCGGTCCGCAGGGCCGTGGGTCTGCACCTCGAGGGCCAGTCGACCGACCACATCTGGGGCGTGGTGGATCTCGTGGTCGACACCGATTTCCCGGACATCCGTCGGCGTTGTGCGATTCACTCCCGGGCCGGTTCTGTTATGGTCATACCCCGCGAGCGTATCTGTACGGGTGAATATATCACTCGCATTTATGTGCAGGTTCCGGGACTGGTGGGTCCGGAGGGAAAGGTGGCTGACGCAGACCTTGGGGAGGGTGCAAGGGGGCGACGGGCGCAGGTCACGCTGGAAGGAATCCTGAAGCAGACCGAAGACGTGTTCCAGCCGTACTATATCCGGCCTAAGAGGGACGATGCGATCGACTGGTGGGCTGCGTACCAGATTGGGCAGAGAGTCTGTCCTGATTTCATTGTGAAGGATGCTACTGGGGTTGGTAGGGTGTTTATCGTTGGTGACGGTACGTCTGGATCGCATCTAGTGGAGGGCTTGAACTGACAAACATCAAGCTTGCCACACACGCAGCCCGAAGGTAAACTGACGCAATCAACCTCCTGCAATCATGAGACTGTACTAGTAACTAAACAACTGGATTATGCAGGCCGGCCAAGGCATGAATGTATCAATGATGGACTCCTACAACCTGGCATGGAAGCTCGCTTATCACGTCCACGGCCTCACCCCGTCTACATCAGGGAATGCGCTACTCGACACCTACCACATCGAGCGCCACGCCAACGCCCAACAGCTAATTGACTTCGACAGGAAGTTCGCCACCGGCTTTTCGGATAAAGTGGGCACGGCGGACTGCAAATCCGGCATCTCTCACGCCGAATTCGTTGACATGTTCAGCACCGGCTGTGAGTTTACCAGCGGCTGCGGGGTAGAGTATGTGGAGAACCTGGCCGTCGACAGAGCGCCTTCGACTGGCGCCCCGAGGCCCGTCGTCAGCGGCCACGACTACTTGTCTGGGATTCTCCGGCCTGGGCGCCGCTTGCTCAATGTCAAGATGAAGCGGTTCGCGGATGGAGCGCACCGGGATATCCATGACGGTAAGACGGCCTCTCCCTGTTCAGCTCTTGGGACAACCATCGCTGACTGCGTTTAGATTTGGCATCCACAGGGCGCTTCCGCATCCTGTCCCTCCTCTCCCTCGACCTGCTAGACCCGAACGGCGTATCCGCAAATGCGCTGAGGAACGTGACGAGCCTGATTCAACGATTTCCCCCGTCACTGCTCGAGCAAATTGTGGTATATCCCGAGTTGCCGGGTGCGATATCCTGGACCAATATTCCAGCGTGTGTGAAGGAGCACGCGGAGATGGCGTTCTATAGTGGCTATGCGGTGGACGATGCGTATGGGATCTATGGCGTGGATCCTGCGCAGGGTGCGCTCGTGGTGGTGCGGCCGGATGGGTACGTGGGCATGGTTGCGCAGTTGGGTGAGGTTGCTCGGGTTGAGAGGGAATTTGGGCGGGATTATGGTGCGAGTTGCTTAGGAGGGACTCGAGTCTTGATCGGTGATGTATATGGTATGTACTGGTGGATGGGACTAAGAATATGTCATCGAGTGACGTGGTGCCTTGTCGTCACAGCCTGCTTGTGGGGTGTTTGGCGACAAGGGGGAAAGAGACGCAGATCAGCGGATCAGAGCTATACCAATGTACTGTGTAGGTGCCTTTTAAGTTTACCATTGCACTGATCTTTGATTCATTATGCTTTGTGGCTCACTCGGCATTTTGTATAACTTTACAATAAACGAATATAACCCCTGTGTGTGTGTGGGTGGGTGGGTGGGTATCTCGCTCTCACTTCTGGCAGCTATATAGGCCGGGTGGGTGTAATCCCAGTGCATAGCCTTGCCTCCTGGCTGATCCGACAAGAACTTTTCTTCCAGAGCATCAAACAAGGCACAATAAGCAGCATTGTCAGCAACCAGGCTACACCTTCACAGAAATCCATCAAAGGCATCTACCCGTCGCGCCATCGACCAGAAGATCCCACCAGCACCCTCGATTACAACAAAAGCTGCTGTAGTTATCGAGAGTGCAGCCGTAAGTATCGACGGAGTTGCAACATTTACCCAGGGTGCATTTCCCAGATGCACACTGCGAGTATCAAGGTTATCCCGATGACGCTAGGATTTGGGGGGGACACCCAGGGTCTGGACCTACAGTGGTACCACACTTTCCACAATTCTTCGCATCGGTGTTCGTATCCGTGCAAGCTCCGCTGCATACTTGCTGCGATTGCGAGGTTTTGAGAGGACCACAGACATAACACGGGCCCTGTCCGGTTAACGCGGGGAACACGCAGGTGGACGACGGGGTCTGGTAGTTCTTGTAACACCAGTCTGTGCACTTCGCTAGGTTGGTCACGGATGTCTGTGGCGTTGACCAGACGGGGGAGGCTGGAGATGTTAGTCTCCTCTGTGGAGCGGAGTGTATGCCTGGGTGCTATCGTACATAGCGCCAGTAGCGCGAGGATTGTGGGCTTGACCATGTTCAACTGAGACGGATTTGAAGCAATAGTTGGGAGGGCTATGCTATCTGTTCTTTCTAAAGCCGATTATAGGACGACGAGGACATTTATGTTTAGCAGAGATTCTTGCCATGACGTCCTTGATTAAGAGTAGCTTTGATGGTGAGGATGATGTTTATGCTGCTTTGATGCGTTGCAATCCCGGACTTGTGATCTAGACTACGCGCGAAGTATCCGCTGACAGATGTTTCCTTGGTACAAACAACAGACAAATGCCGGGAGGATTTGGGTCGTTTGTGGGGAGGGGCCGGTGCGGGAACTTAGGGCATCTACGGTTGGCGATTAAGTTTGAGAATAATACTCTCAAGCTCTACTGGCCGTTGAAAGCTGATTGTTGAAGGAAGTGGAGATAGGCTTTCTAAGAATTTTTGCCTCGATAGATGAATATTTCCCAATGGTTTCAAGCTGGTCTGTAATGGCTTTGCAAGTCGTCAAGTAGTCCAATGCTGATCATGTTGCAAATTGACTGTGAGATCCCGCCATAAACCTCGCGTGGGGATCTCAAAAGTTGCATTGTGATACGGCAGTATCCGAGATTGAATACACGGTGAACAGCGTGGCGCAGTGCATTGTACCAGCATTGCGGTCGGCCGCCTCGAAGTCTAGACCCGACGGCGCAGAAGTGGACTCTCGAGCTCAACACCATGACAGCCCAGCAGTATCAGAATGATGACGGTTCGATTTCACCTTAAGGATGTGCCCGATTTCTGGATGTCTTGCTATTACTTTCTCAGCCACAGACATGCAGTGGAGGTCGCTATGGAAACATGCTACTCAGATCGATCGGATCGATCGGATCGATCAGTGCTGGTCGATCTCGATCCCACGAAGTGGGCCGGGCCTCTCAAGCTTGCACTGCTTAATTTCACCGCAAACGGCCCGGACCCACCCCCGATAACCTTATTTAGTACCAGATCAATTCTGCGCCCACTGCAGATACATACAAGGAATAAAGATTGACGGCCAGATCTTTCTCACGTGGCTAGACCATAAACAAATCTTGGGTCGGGCTTGAATCAATGCCAGAGGACAATTGAAAGTCTAGACACAAAGTTCAGTCTTCCCTGGGCCCCGAGCGCACTCCCCACCGGTACGTCAGATGATACCCAGTGACATTTCATACTTTGCCTTATCGTGCATGGTAGTCCCTTCGGCATGATCATCTGTACCTCTGTTTCAGTATGGAGTCACTTGATGTTGAATTCAATGATGTGGATTCTGCGCATCATAGAGATATCGGACAGCCAATGAAATGCAGCTTCAGGGGGCAAAGTAATAACGGTAGACTCTCCGAACCCTCGATCACACAATGATTCCATGTTATTTATGCTGGGACTTCAATCGTGGCGTGTGGGATTCCGCAATATAAAAGTGTATAGATGCAGAGCCGACCCTGGGCCTGGTTGCAACCCTAGATGGTGCCATCTTCGAAGATTCAGATTCCGCTCCAAGACACTATTCAAAGAAATACTACCACACAAGATGAAGATCTCGCTTTCAATGACTTCTCTTTTTCTTTCCCTTGTCCTCTTATCCGACATCGCCCTTGCCAAAATCGTCACAGGAACTGCGTCGGATGGGGCGATTAGCTGGGTTAAATATGTCCCCGACGAGACTCCTGCTCCCGACAGTGCCGCCTAGGGAGGGAGAAGTCAAACTTGGTCAGATGCGAAATGATTTGACATCTGATTTGACGTGGTATGTGATGGGACCCCATATGCTGTGCGGCCGCGGTCTAAGTTATGTTCAAGCTCAGCTCACCTAGACTGCACTCTGTTCCAGATCGATACGAGCATAGCAAACACGGATTCATGGCATTTGAAAGCCGATTAGATGAGATTGAGAGTGGAGACACCTGGTAGATGGACCCGTCTTGAATTCTGCAGCATTGTCTGGTGTCGAGCCCGGAGGATGCTCATCAACCCATAACCCATCCGATATACCGGGCATCAAATTTGACTCTTGCAAACTTTCATCTTCTTCCGAGCGGTGGTGTAGTGTCGGTAGTCTTAACTGTTCTCATGGCAACAGTGGTTTGGGGCTTGCTCGCGACAGTCCAAGCTGGTGTCGGGATTAGTAGCATCTTTCCAGTCTACCATACCATTTTTTCCATATATCCAAGATAGGGTGTATTTCAAACCAGATAGTGACCTTATTAGTTTCAAGGCCCAGTACCCACAGATATCACGCGACCCGCAACAATCAGGATCTTGATAGCTTCAACATCAAGGTGACCTTTTGCATAAACAACTAAGCATGGATCCCCAACTTTCTTCATCCTATGTAATACAATGATTCGAAGTGCACCTTCCAATAATACAATGTGGCCATCTGAATTGCAACTCATATTCTTATCGATTCCAGGGTTACAGCATTAGCAGCAAGTTTGTCAGACTCCCCGATCGCATTCGGGAAGCCGATCTCTTATGCTGTTTCCGAGCTCCGGGTGTCAGGTGAGTATTGAGTGGTGAGCATAATAGCGATTACTCCATCTACCTCGTTCGTTACCTTGACCCCCGGGCCCGAAAGACGGATAATGATTATTTGAGCGCGAGTCATGACGCGGTCCCGTCACAAAGGGCTTATCTTATCAGCATACCCGGGGCCCGGGGCCGGCTTGCTCGCCCGGAACCGGCCCCGCAACCACCACCAACCAGGTAGTTAGTCACTCCCCGCAACCGGCACGGATGGCCGCATTTGGGCCTGCCTGGCTGAAACTTCCACCATCCCTTTTCGCTCCCGACGTCTCAGCCCACGCATCAATTACTAGTAAAATAATTCACCGCCACCACCTCCCCCAACTGCACCTCCTGCACCCATTGATCCCAATCGTACCGCACCCGCGGCCAGCGTCCCACCTTCTGCCCTTCCGAGGACGCGTACTTCTCGACGTCGAAACCGGCCGGCTGCTCGTACAGGAAGAAGACGTAGCGATGCGGTGCGCTACCGGGCGGGGGGCCGGGCCCGATGTAGTTCGCCACGAAGGGGGCGGTGACCTCGAAGCCGTAGGTTGCCCCGTCCGTGGGCGACGTTGTCGTCGTTGTCGTAGGGACAGGACGGAGACCGGGTTGGAACCAGTGCAGGATCGGGCCTAGGAAGCTGAATGCCGGGAAGGGGGCGTCCAGGTCTAGGTTGACGACCATGTACGTGCGGTTGGGGTCGGGGACGGGGAAGGTGAGGTCGGGGGCGGAGCGGGCGTCTGTTTCCCGTTTTGTTAGTTTGGATTCTCGATTGCGCAGACAATGCGTGGTCGAAGAATGTGGGAGCTCGAGACAGACCTGCTCGGGGGATGTATTGGCCCGGTTGGATGTTGCGGTGGGCGCCCAGAGTCAGACCTAGGGTTTTGGATGGGTTCTGATTGAGGAGGGAGAGTGCACTCTCGATGGTCTTGCTGCCGAGCATCTTGGCTGATTGAATGTCTGATCTGTTTCTGGGATGTGGAGGGAAAAGAGAGGAAGAAAGAAACGAAGTGTATGCATCCCTTGCGGAATTTGAGCGAACTGGGGAGTGGCATGGCCGGGACCGGAGATAATGGGCGGTGATAGGGGGCTATCACCGGCCTTATCGCTCTCGTTGATAGTGAAGACTTGGACCGGACTATGGCTTCCTTGGGCCCTGGAAGCAACTAATCAATTTTTGGAATTGGGTAGCTATGGACTATATCTGTTCAAGTTACGGCCCGTGAGAATAGTTCAAAGTTCATTGACAAAGCTGACTCGAAATGCTTGTGTGAGCTGTTGCCTCGATACCAGCGGCAGATATCTGGGGGTTGTATGACATTGGCACTGCATTACACTACCTAGTTGAAAAAGAAGCCTCTTAGCGCGACTAGATGCAAAATAGGGATAAACCTATCCCTAGAGTAATAGAAATATATGAGGTAGGTCTATCGTGCGAACCCATCAGTCTGCCATCTTTGATCACTACGGAACCAAGTCCGTTTTGTAAATTTGATAATGCTGGTCGAGACGAGCCAGAGTATTCAACAAAATTATAGGATTCAAGTGAGAATCCACTATCCGCGACATACTTTCAGACGAGTGAGACCGTGGAATACGGGCCAGGGACTTAATGTGATAGAGAAGAAAACCCTATCCGATATTCAAGCTGGTCCCGGCTGCTTCCCATTATCAAATTTGCACACCACAAAGATGGGCAGCGGCCGGGCAGAATAAGTAATACTTCTTGCACGAGTCACGGTTACAGCCTAGAAGGGGCGATTGCCGTTTAGCTTATACCATGTAGAAACAATACAACGACCATCTCACCTTCAAATCCTTACAGTTTTCGACCCCTATCTCCCACAAGACACCACTAGCAGTTGCCTGGCTTCCAATGTCACAGCAATAGCATGGATCAGCAGCGGTAACGGCATCAATCGCCGTGAGTAGACCCAAAGCAATCTCGACACGCACATTAGATTCGTGAGCGTAGAGCGACTTTGAGTGTCGGAGTTACAGTATAGTTCAGGTCAAGTTTGGGGTTGTCAGAGGGACCTAAGCATACACTCAAGGAGACCGCCTGGGTCGATCGGTGGTGTGCTGCCTTTATAACTGTCACACTGGAGTGTGAACTCGATCCTGAACTTCCGGCATCACTAGATAGCCAGCCATTGAATGATCCGGTCCAAAGAATCATTTTTGGTCGGATATAGTCAGGAGCCCCATAAGTGGAAAATTATGGCTTATGTGGAATCGGGAGCCTCTAGCTTTGGCGTCGGGGTTACGAGCCCGTACCCGTACCGGTGTTTGAAGGGCAACCCTAAGGGCCTGTGTCTGTTTAAGGATGATTTCTGACTCCAGTGCACGGGTACAATTGCTGGGAGCCAGGATTTAGAATGGATAGATTGGCCCATGGGGTGAGCGAGTGAGCATGATTGTTGATATGCTTGGCGGTCCTGCGGCCTCACCCAGGCTGCCGCGCGCCGGTGGCCATATCTAGTTCCTTCGAGATAGCCTGACGTAGCCAGAATCCAAGCATCTTCCACCTCACTCTGCATTGAACACACTAGCATACTCACCGGACGGGGCAGGATATACAAAATTTTATCTCGATAGAACTGGTATGATGTGTGCCACGCTAGCCTGTATCCGAGTACTACTGTACTGTGCAATACATACAATCAATGATGGGAATATACGGGTAAAATAGTTAGTTCCGATGGGCAGGGATAACTTCTCAAAGTGGCTAGTATCATGGCCCCTGAACTAGTGGCGGGGAATTAAATCAGGTGTCTGACTTTCACCAACTCACGGGGGTATGTTATAAATTGCTTCTTCCTATCCACCCCACCAACTTGACACTACTTAATAACTCGCAGCTACTACTTCCGATCACCCCCACCCCCCCCCCCCACTCCAAACATTGACCTCGAAGATCAATATGCCTCTCTTGTCATTGCCACCTGAGCTCTTCCACCAGATTATTTCTACACTATCAAACGGTGATATCAAATCGCTGCGCTTGACGTGCCGCCTTCTCTGCGACGTTGCTCGCCTCCGTCTCTCTCGCGTCTTCCTTTCTGCAAACCCGCTGAATATCCGAGGATTTTGTGCGGTCGCAGAACATCCATTATTTCGCCAGCAGGTAACGGAGATAGTGTGGGATGATGCTCTTCTGATCGACGATCCAACGCCAGAACCTGACCCGTATGACATTGACGCAGTTATCGGCTCGGACGACGAGGAAGAGGAGAACAACAACTGCCCGAAGTGGTTTGTCGCAAGATGTAAGAATAATCTCGATGAGCTGTCAGTGCGGATGGACCGAAATGAAGATGGATGGTACAACGTGGAGCGTGCAGCTCAGCGAGACGCGCGGCCATCTCTGTGGACCTGTTGGCAGTATTATCAGAACCTCCTCGCGCAACAAGCCGAAGTCTTGATTCATCAGAGTGACGTGGAGGCTTTGGTTTATGGCCTTCGAAGGTTTCCTGCTCTAGAGAGAATCACTATCACCCCTGCCGCCCACGGTTGGTTGTATCAGCCACTCTACGAGACGCCGATGATCCGGGCATTCCCCAACGGCTTTAACTACCCAATCCCGCGTGGGTGGCCGACAGCGGCGGAAGGAGACCCTATACCAGAGGCTGAAGACTGGGGCACTTTATCGGAGAAAGCCAAAGAGCAGTGGCGGGGAGTCCGGCTTGTTCTGCGTGCATTGGCTCAGCATCCTGATCATCGCGTGGTCGAGCTGATCCTGGATGTTAATCAGCTGGATACGGGGCTCAATTGCACCATCTTCCACCAGCCGTGCGAGGAGGTCGAGAACCTGGTGGCCCTGCTGCGACGCCCCGGATTCCGCCGCCTGGACCTTCCCCTAATTGTCCGTGGCCAGGAATATGAGGAGTGGCCCGCCTTCCGCAACGGAAACCTGCGCCGCGCCTTGGGTGAGGCATCGAGCTTGGAACATCTCAGTCTCTATACGACAATCGAGGTCGACTCAGTGACTAATCTAAGGTGGCAGGGGCAACAATGGATAGAGCCCGAGCAGAGATCATCTCGCTTTCATTTCACCTCTCTTCAAACTATCTTCCCAGTGGCAAGCTGGTCGGGATTGTAAACTTTGAAGCTATCTCGGTTCATTGTGATCCAGGACGACTTGATGACTCTCTTGGAGCAACTACCGGCCCTCCGAGAGATTGAACTGAGCTTCTTGGGATTTCTAGATAACGGGGGCAATTACAGAGATCTTTTGGATGAGATTCGCGCGAGGTTTCGGTGGTCGGAAAGAGACCCAGAGTTGAGACCCAGTTTGATAGTTGCAATTGCACCATGGCCCCCTCAGCCGGGCCTGGGAATTTGGCTCGATGAAGAGGTGTACTCCTTTCTTTACGACCATGGCCGGAACCCCTTCTCTATCTTTCGCGACGCTCCGAACCAAGTACCCCAGGGAACTGGGACTCTTCGGGATTCCTTTGAGCCAGGCCATGAGCGCCCCTACTTTGGTTCATGCAAGTTCCTGAGTACCGCGGGAATCGAAAATCGTTGCAATACTCGAGTGTTTAGAGAGCTATATGGTTGGATAATTATGTAAGAGGTGAAAACTGGAATGATTACCGGGATAGCTACGAAACACAAGCGTACCATTTCTTTGGGGGGCTAGAACACAAGACGCATCCAGAGGTCAAATATTGCTGAAGTGGAAGAACCCGACAGAAAATATGCATTGCATCGAGATAATACCCAGAGGTCCCAAGTGGCATTCGGAATAGAGAATAGGACGCAGTATCTCTCTGAGCAAAGTACCAGGGCGATTCTTCCAGCGTGTATTCCCATTGGCGCGTAAAGTACCTGACACCGACGACCGCGGTTAGTTGCCCCACGCAAAGACAGTACTACCCTAAGAAAGAGGACCATATCATTAACATCACAAGATTATATTAGGTGTCATGACCTTGGAAGCTCCTTAGATTACCTAAGCGCAATATTACACTCACGTGGAATACATCTTCAGTCAAAGAATATGCTATTTCGAAGAACAGAGTCGATTACTTAGTAGAATAGATCTAAAATGTGCATTCTATTTAGCCCAGCCAAGCAAGCCCTAAGCTTTTGAGGAAGTTCTGCCATATGCTTGAGGGCTTCCCGCCCAGAGACCTTAAGTTGACGACCGTCTCCAGATCAGCGAACAGCAGTCCTCGCTCTTGATCCCGTGCCAGGAGATGCGCAGTCTTCAGCACATTCTTGATCTGCCGACCGTTGAGTTCCAACTCCGCTAGGCTGTCCAGCTGCGCCTCCGTAATATCGGCGGTGGCGCGAAGGAACTGCGCCCAGATCTGCCGCCGAGACACAGCATCGAGGTCCGGGTATTGGAGTGAAATATGAATACGAGAGTCGAAGGCCGGGTCGATGTTCTCCGCGCGATTACTCGTCAGGAATAGAATACCCTGTTGACACGTCAGCGTTGCTCCTCCCCAGACTTTGGGTTGATGCATACATACCTCGTAGTACTCCATTTTTCGCAAGAAGATCGAGACCAGTTCATTTCGGGCCAGATCGGATACCGTGCGGGCCTCGAGGAAGACATCGGCTTCGTCAATCAGAAGCACTGCGTTCCAACGAGGCACGAGCTCGAGGACCTCCTCTAGCTTTGCTTCCACGTTAGCCACAGTTGTCCCGAGGTCCCCGGCCCCCAGCACGTATAACGGGACTTTCATAACCTCCGCGATACTTTCCGCTGTCAGCGTCTTACCAACGCCCGGCGGGCCGCTTAGAAGCAGAATCACACCCTGGCCCTTGCCGTGGACCACGTCGTCAAACGAGTCATGTGACTGGGCTTTTGCAACGGCGAGGATTAACTTCTTCAGATCCTGTTGCCCGCGGGGGAGGACCAAGGAGTCAAAGGCATCCTTGCTCCAGACAATATCCTCAACCTCATCGACCACAAACGCCCGCCACTCCTTCTTCCGCAACGAGAAACCGCGCACCCACGGGGTGGCCAGCAGCCGATGCTCGTCGGTCATGGCCGTCGCGATTTCCGTGACCTCGGTCTCCCATCCATTCATATGGCTGTTGTGGTGCTTCTTATATCCAGCGGGGTCAATCATCACGCGCCCGTGGTCCCGCACGTGCTTGTAATGCGAGCCATCGTATGATTCCCACGTCTTTCCGCGTGCAATCAGCCGCCGCCTAACGCTTTCTGCATCCCGGTGGTTTGCCAGAGGGAAGATCTGCAGCGCGTCGAGGGCCATCGTGCCCTTGAAAGGGCAGATATTAACCACCTCGTGCTCGTAGTGGTACTTTTCCCCGTCATAATCGACGTACCGTGTCTTTACTTCGATGAAGCTGTCCTTGCCGTGCGTGTACGAGTCTACGCACTCGTACGCCCGAGGGGTGCCGCTACCCACGCTGAAGAGAACCGTCTGCGGAATGAAGACCGTCCATAGGAGGTCGTGGGTAATGACGCCGTTCTTGAGTAGGTCCGCCCGGCGGGTGAGAATATCGCCAATCTCGTTATCCAGAATCTGATGCAACAGGTCGAGGTAGGAGCGGATTGTCGGGTTCTGCGTTTCCTCCCGCGTCTGGCAGAATGGTTGCCACCGACGTACGAACGGCACGTACGGGTACTCGAATGTGAGAGTCTCCAGAGTCATGGTGATGCCGGCGTAACCCGCGAACGCTGGCGTCAGAGCCTGCCTGATCTCCTCGCTCTGCAAGGTGAAGGATCGGGCCTGCCAGCGGGCGTCCTCACCCTTGGTCCATCGGACAATCACCGGGGACTTCACGGGTTCCAGGCTTTCGACGGGCTCGGTCAGGTCTTTCGGAATCTGCTTCGTCCACGGCTTGTCGGGACTTAACCGGAAGAGGTTGAGAACATCGCTGGGAGCGGAGCCTTGTGTCGAAGGCGCAGATAGGTTCTCTTCTGTCGTTAAATGTTATTCGACTTTTTCTTCTCCGTGCACGATAGGATAGTTTGCCTACCTCCCAGCTCCGTTAGATTCAACAAGACTTCATCACCATTGTCCACGGGAGACGCGGAATCCCAGAGCGCGGCCATAGTGATGTGTGCTTTATGGCGGCAAGCTCGGAGACGAAAGAATATCGAGATGGAAGAAATCAGTTGAACGGGTCTCCTAGCTGTTAAATATTTTCTTGCAGCCTCGTGGAAAGCTTTGGGTCATTGAATTGCAAGACCCGATTATCCTCACCTTCAGCTCGAACGTAGCTCTGTGTTTGATCCGTGCGAGCCCCAGTAAACCACTGTGTCCCCACTTATCGGGGAACGTCCTCGTCTTAGTTCAGCCAAAAGGGGCTAAGTCTTGCCTGTGGCTGACGCGCAAGTTACTTGTCGACTGTATCCGGCTTTCTGAAAAGCATCGATATGGCCAAATTCACTTTTGGCTCATAAGTAGTTCACAGGTTCTGAGAACTATAACAACAATAAAATGTAATGTGTGGGAACAGGGGTGATTTGGTTAGCTTCCCACCCAATTGATCTGGAGTCAAAGATGAGAGCGTAACATTTCACCAGGTTCTCGCTATTAGATGGCAAACCATATTGCTAGACATGAAATACTTACTATGGTCGAGCCTCAAACTGACCAAACGTCATCTCATGCCGAGAGTAATACCGAAGGGCTGGGTCAGCCTGCCGGGCTGGCGGCCCGACCCCACGCTTGGTGAGTCACGGCGATCACTGCGCCTCAATGGAGCCCTAACTACCAGGGCCATTTTCAGCCAGCCTCATTGCAGACCGTCAAACCACCGATCTCGCGCATGCGCCACGAAGACCGCCAGTCCGAGTCATTTGGGCCAATCCCAGTGGTCAGTTACGGGTATTGGATTGATTTGTCCCGAAAAAGGTCCATATGGGCTTCGGACTAATGCCTCAGGCCACGAACCTTTTGGATGATGGTTGCCTCGGCAATAGCCTTCGCTTAGAGTAAGAGATTCAAGACTTTTTTTGAAGCCCTTTGAAAGTCTAGACTCCCGGCAAATTAGCACGGAGTTTACTTCCGTTGCCCTGCAGCACTGCCACAATCGTTCCACCGTTTGTCCGGGCTCGATTGAACGCCCCGCATTCGCTTCCATTGTCCTATCACTGATGTGGCGGAGAACAAAAGAAAGGGATTGGTCGATCAGCCACCCAGACCACTCCAAATTCTTTTCTTTCCAATTGATAGCTATCAAGTAGCTGACGGGCAACTGAAATAGGCAGCTATTCGAAACAGGTTGACTCGCTTGCGGCCTGCATGCATGTCGACTTCGGCTAGAAGACATACCTCCGCAGGAGGATGGTTTGTGGATGAGATCGATAGACGGGGTGGATCCATGCACAATAGCCGAATGCACAGGTTATTACACGAGGGTGAGGCTGCCCTGATATCTAACCTCATCATGGTAGTCATGATATGAGAAATACTACTAGTTAATCTCATCAGGAGGCCATCTCGATATCCCCGACATATACAAACTCTACCGCCAGTTTCCCCATCTGCTTATTGGCCTCCTTACCCCAACTGGAGGTGAAGACCGCGGGATAATAATTCTCGTCGAACAACGGGGTAACAATCAGAGTTTCACGAGGTGCAAAGTACCGCCCATCATATCCCCCAAGATGATCGTTTCTCCCGTCGCGGTTCGATGACCATTCAATGTTTCTCCCAATCTCTTGAGATGACAGTAGATGGCATCCACGCTGGGCGAGATCCCGTGTTCCTCGGCGCCCCGCGCGCGTTGCACGTTGAGTCGCGCATCCTTGTCGCTGATCCAAAATTCGTTATCTGAGATATCCCAAATGCCCAAGCCCAGAGATCCACTTGGTCTTGCTCGTTGGGGTCTTTTCCGACCGATAGCGTTTCTGTTGTCGGTTGCGCTCGTTCGATTTCAGATGGTGGCGAGACCAAAAGTGCAGGCCCGGTTATAGCATCAACTACCACAGCCTCGGGCAACACATTCCGCTTGTGAATCTCATGTGTTCTCCCACTGGCTGTTTGCTGATTCCTTCTGCAGCCTCCCACGTGGCGGCTTCCGATGTCGCACCAGGGAAGGCATTTGGTTAATCGCTCGCCAAGGACCAAATCCCCAACTTACACAGTAGATTGATTTTGTTCCTTGAAGATTATCGGGCAGGGTGATGGCCAGCTTGTATCCATTCATGTTTACTGCGCTGCTGGTCAAATATCGAGCGTAGCGATCACCCCGGTCAGAAAGTCGTTTCTGTGACTTGTCTTGCATTGGTGCCGCCATAGCCCCAGGGTTGTTTGTAATGCGATTGTTTAAGTCACTATGCTCCCTTGCCACATTGAAAAGCAGCTGCCAGTCTTTTTACTTTGTACACTTTCGAGGTATACCGGTACCACGGTATATCGTATTGTAATTTGAAATGTTGCGGAAAAGACCCACGCTCTGGACCGATTCTATTTACCACCTAGCCCTAAATGGAGTAGTCTGTGTTACCTATGCCCCAGGGCACCAGGAGGCATTAAGCAGCATTAGTAAGAAAGCGACATTGTAGGAAACGCAAGAATTTGCTTGCCGAAAGAGATTGATTACTCAGAGTGAATAGAATATAGGAGCATATAACAGCATTTTGACACAGACGTAATCCAAGATATGAGGTTTTCCGTGTCCCTAGCAGAGCTGAATAGGCCAACAGCCGCACAGAAATAGCAACGATATCTGAGCTGTGTGGGATGACCCTAGTAGGTTTGCAAGATGAATCCCTGAAAACAAATTTCCGAAGAAAAGAAATGAAGAATTAATTGACAAGTGTTTCGAGGTTGCTAGTGGCAGATGAGCCTGCGAATCGGTCGTGATGATTCAAGTGAGGGAAAAGACAATGACCCGGCCGCGTTTCACAAGCCCATACACCTGCTTCACCTAATCCAGGACAGTAACAGTGTCGGACAATGCGGTGCAGTTAATCGGAATATTGATTGGGGGATATTGACCACCCGGGGTGAAGGCCAGACTACTGTAGTTGTATGTGGGGCTCAGCATCATGATCTGCCCGACAGTGGTCCCGAAGTGGTCGGCAAGATCCTTGTACACACCCCAGCTGAAGGAGTAGGGTTGAAGGATACACTGGCTGGGGTCGCACTGGGGCACCTTGAGGAACTGGCCGACGTCCAGGAGGGCTGTGGGCGAGGTCGGGTTGACCAGAGTTTCGTTTGAAGGCCCATCGACATGCCTGAGGGACTCGACGGTGATATTGAGACGTCGCGCGATGACTTCGTAGGTGTCGCCCCGCACCGTGTAGTAGAGACGTGGTCCGCCATAGATACACGTGCGGGTGGCGGTGGTGTTGGACAGCAGGCAGCTGGTGTTGTCCGGCTCGCACACCTCGGCTGGGATTAGGAAGGACTCGCCCACGTTGGGGATGATGGTCACGTCCGCCATGAGGTTCTGCCGGCCAATGTCGCACACGCCGCGGTTGGTGGCGCGGGCGACATCGAAGACGGTTGTGCCGTCGACGGTGATATCGTACCAGTACGTAGTCGTGTTGAGCGCGGTGGTGTTGCAGGTGCTACTGGCGGCTGTGACCAGCGGAGCCAGAAGAAGAGCCCAGAGAGAGTGGACAAAGGAAGGCATTTCTGAATGATGCATCCAAGCAAAACAGACAAGGGAATGAAAAAAAGCTCGAAGCTGGATAATGAAAGAAAGACTGGATGTGCTCTGCTTGAAGGTAGCACTGCGAGCAGACAGACCACGCTTTTATACTCTGCTGCTGAGCTAGGACTGGGGCTTTTCGTGTCGAACACCCATGCAATAATGCCTTCCTGTGAGACAATGTCCGAGCAGTTCCAAAGGTCAAACGGCGAGTCCGGTGCCTGAGCTAGCTGCAACCTCAAATTGCCCTTCAGTCGAACGTTATCGAGTCGTCCGATCTGATGACCGACCAACGCTAAGGTAAACTACTGTACCTTAGCCAGAACGCGTGAATGCCCCTTTTATCTGTGGAAATTGGCGTCTTCGCAGAAAGCGGCGTCAAAGCGGTTTAAACCATTTCGTTCAATGTACAACTGTCTCTGTTCCCCGAGTTGAATCAATGAATTGCAACATTGGTGATGAAGACCGAAGCCGCTTTGGGCCTCAAACAGGTATGTCGATTGTGAGCCCATTATCCCGATCAGCATTCAATGTGTTCACTCATATTTGTGATTTTAAATATCAAGAGATCACGTTCTGCCTGTCGAGTTCTGTGTGGTAGTGCGACGCCGCTAGCGATTAATGCCTCACACCATAACCCGGAAACACAATACAGCAGCCAATATCAGCAATTCAACTGTTAGTTGATAACTGGCCGGACGCCGCGGATGCTGTATCCCCGACCCGAGGCTATTTTGCTTTTGCATCGTGTCCGATATCGAGGTATTCGTCCCAAATGGGAAAACCTGTCCGCTGCAACCGTGCAGCTAGTGGGAATTAGTATCTGGACTTCCCAACTCGCGTCTGCAGTCGTCATCACCTCGAGCTAATTTCTCGAAGGTCCGAGCGCAGGACAAGAGAAAACAAGCTTTGTACGAGATCTATAATTATTAGCCCCTTCGCCAGCATTTTGGCCAAGCAGCAAAGTCGACATCCACTGATCATCCTGCCAAGATTTCCGGGTTGAGTTCTTCAGGGTTTGCCTCACCAAGCACCGACTTATTCCAAGTGACACAATAAGCTCAGATATCTGGCAGATCTTAATGACTGTACATGTCATATCTAGAGCCCTTGTATGTGGGGTTGTGCCGACCCGATTTCCTGCGGAGAAGAAACTTACCCTAATTTGGTGTGGGTTTGCGAGGTCTGCTTCGGACATGCAGCTTCCCCACACAAAGGCCGCATACTATCGGTCTTACACTTGACTACATGAAAGCTTGAGATGGTATATCTCCCAACGAGGTCTACTTGTTTGCAAACTGGGCAGCATGTCGACTCCGCAGGAGAAGACTGGGTTGTTGTTTGGTTTGCCGTTGAGAACCGGGATTCTCAACCATGACCATGTCGAATTTTCCGCATGAAAAGGCACACACAAGCAGGGGAAAAAGAAAAAAAAAAATACAGAGA